AACTCGCTTCCACCAGCAAGCAACCTGGTCCCGCAGCGGCGCCGTACGCCCTCGCGCAGACTGGTGCACCTCCTCAACCACGAACTTGCAGCCGTCGCCCCTGCTGGGCCCAGCTGGCAGCGGCACACAGTGATGAGCACAGATCGTGCGCTCAACTCCGCGAGCCCAAGCAGAGTACCATGAACTGACTGTGGAAACAGGCTTGGGGTTGAGCCTAAATGCAACGGAGGCGAGGTAGGAGGGAGGCATGGCATCCTCGGACACCTCCAGAGTGCAAACACCATTGCGATGCTGTCTCCAACAGTCTTCCGAAATATAGAACTCGGGTTCACCCTGAAGGGACGGGTCTTCCAAGGCGGCTTCCGTGACCAGGGGCGGCGCACCATCGCTGGAAGAAAGGGGGGGAGGTCCCGAATTGACCTGGACAAAAGAGGTCTTGCTCACAGGATCAGAGAGACGAACGGGCTCAGAACCGTGCGACGCCGACGATGTGACAGAGGCTCCGTTTTCAGACTCACTCCTGCTGCTGTGATGAGTGCGCTCACCCGCAAGGCTCTGACATGCGTGCGGGTGTGCACTGAAACACGACTCGTGACCCCAAGGATCTTCTTCCTCCTCAGGCCATCCGTCATCTAATTGGCACTCGACTTCATCCTCATCGTCCGATGGGACTGCTGTGCTGAACTCATCGCCTGGCTGTGAAAGGTATTCAGAGAACAACGTGTGAAGGAAATCCGACCTACGCTCCTGCGCCAAGGCAGCCCGCACGGCCTTGGCCTTCTTAGCCTTGGAGGTCTTGGAACCCTCCTGAGGTAGAGCCTGCGGGCGCCGAAGCTGAGGAAGACGGCCAGGAGCGTCCAATCTGCGTGTAATCAACTGCTTGCCACTGCTTTTGAGTGTGATAATCAAACCCAGGTGAGGCCGCCACGGCACGTCTAGCACCGCCTGACAGCCTACGACGAAGGGGATGGCAGACTCGCTCATGACCGTGAAATCGATCAGCGTGCCTGCGCCCACGTCACATGCGTAGTCCACAGGAGCCTGGAGCACCCGCCCATGCACGCGATCCAGGAAGCCCGTCTGGCTGAGCACCTGCGGGGTGACGTTCCAATCCCCGACCACGAGCCATGGGAGCTGCAGCGCCGCCAGCAGGGCCCCCAGGCGCTGGAAGCGGCTCAGGTTGCGGCCACGCATGCCGATGGACGTCACCCCGTAGAAGATAATGAAGACAATGGAGAAGCCCGCCAGGTGGATGGTTGCCGCCGCGAAGCCGTCCAGCGCTGAGCTGCCTGGAGCCCGAAACGCATTGAGCCTCGCCTCCGCCAAACTCTCCACCTGCAGATGCTTCTTCGCGAAGATGATCTCGCCGCCCTCGTTGGCCTTCTCCTCAGGAGCCGTCGTGCGGTGATTGCCAGAGGGTCTGGCAGGATTGGCAATCATTCTATAGCCCTTGCCACGGGCATCCCGATCAAGCTTGCGCAACTTGGACTCTGGCTGATGAGTCTCCACGCAACCCAAATAGTCGCAGCTCGAGCACTGCGTCATAAGGTACGTCCACGCCTGTTCCCCAAGGGCGGTGACGTTGCTAAAGAAAATGGAGGTGGTCTTGATATCGTCGATATCGTGCACCTCGTCCCCGTTCCCGTGCGACGCCTGGCGCTGTGTAGTTAGCGCCGCGGGCTCAGCGCCAGGCGGTGACCGTCAGGCAGCGGCCCCTCCGTTGCCCTTGCCGCAGGCGCCCTTGCCCATGGCTGCCTCGAACTTGGCCGCCGAGATCCTCGTCGCCTCCTCCTGGACCTTCCCGTCGTGCTCCTCCTTGGCTGCAGCAGCCGCCGCGTCAGCATCGACCTCTGCTGTCCCTGGGCCCTGCCCGCAGCCTCCCGCGCAACTCACAGGGGCCGCAGCATCGGCCGAGGCAACTTCTCCTGTCTCGGTCCTCCGCCTCTTCATCGCCATCCTCTTGTCGATGTCGGCGCGCACCTTGCTCGCCTTCGTCAGCCACTCCTTGACCCCCTCCGACTTCGACGTGAAAGTCATCTTGAGGCCTTGCAGCTGCTCATGAATGCGCTTCAACTCCTCCTTTTCGTTGGCTTCGAACTCAAGGTTGTCCATGTCCTCGAACAACTTCTCGTCCCAGCGCACCTCGAAAGGAAGATCCTCCTGGGCTGCGTCCTTCTTGTCCGCGGCAGTGGTCGCGACGCCCTCGGCCCTCGCCAGGCTCTCGACAGCCTTGCGCCTGGCCAGCTCCGCCGACGCGAGGACGACGGCAGCAGCTCTCTCCTTCTCCACAGCGACTGAGAGGGCCTCCCTCAGCCTCTTCACATAGCTCACTGTCTGGTCATGTTTGTGATTGGCGTCCCGATGCGCTGCGTCCGCCTGCTGCAAGGCCGCCGCCGCCGTCTGCTGCTTCGGCGGGGGCTTGGCGTTGGCAAGCTTCTCAACGCGCACCTTCAGCAGCGCCCGCAGCTCGGGATCATTGGTGTTCTTCATGGCCTCCATCAAGTGATCGACGACGCCGTCAGGAACGACCCATGGGGGCTTGGGCGACGAGCCGCGACTGCGGCTGCCCCCCCGCCCCTCGTCCTCCTGAACGAAGATCGCGCCGTCCTCCGACTCCGCGAAGGTGACCACCTTGTTGTTACCTCCTTTGGGCGGCTTAGCTTTGAACAACTTCACCTGTTTGCCACAATGCGGGCATGCCAGACTGCACTTCAGAAGGTTGTCATTCCACTCACACCTCTGGCAGTTGGCGCAGCGGCTCCACACGCGAGAGGGAACAGGAGCCATGGCGGAAACTCTCGCTTTAGTCGACCGAGTACGCAATCCCTGGAGGAGCGGACCCGGAGTGCCCCAAGCACCTCGAGCAGGTACGAGAGTCAGCTCAAACAAAATGCCTGAGCCTAGGTGGCTTGAGAGGAGAGGAGGAGGAGGAGGAGGAGGAGGAGGAGGAGGGAGGAGGAGGAGGAGGAGGAGGAGGAGGAGGAGGAGGAGGAGGAGGAGGAGGACGGGGAGGAGGGGGAGGAGGACGAGGACGAGGACGAGGACGAGGACGAGGAGGAGGAGGAGGAGGAGGAGGAGGGGGGCCTCGCCGGGCCCCCAGAGGCAGCGAAGGCCGAGGGGCCCTGGGGCCCCATCGGCCCCGTGACGTTGCGAGAGCACCACGACGAAGGTCTTTTGGTGCTGCTGCGGTTGCTGCTTCTCGGCCTCGGGGGGGCCCTTGCCGGGCTCCGGGGCCGTCAGAGAACGCCTCGGGATGTAAAGCTGGTCCCGGGGAAGGGTTCGAGACCTTTGGGGATCGACGCTGTGAACAAATCATGACCCCCTCCGCGCGGCTCGAGCATGTCGCGAGGACTGAGGCTCGAGCTTTGCTTCCGTTGTTTGTCGTTCCCGGTGATGGGCTCGGGCTCAGGGCTCCCTCGTGGGCGCGCCTCTGGCCCTAGACCAGAGGGGGGGCGAGCATGTGGAGGACGATTTGGGCCCGTAGGAGTACATGCGCGGAGAAGAAGAGTATCCAACATGCGTCTCGGCACTCATGCGTTTGCACGCGTTTCCATGTGTTTTCGCCGCCGAAGGGGCCACACATCCAGCATGTGGGCGTGGGATCCTTCATGCGTAGAAAGGCGTGTTCGGAAAGCGGGGCATCCAGCATGCGCCTGGCGCGTGCGCATTTGGCACGTGGCTTCACGGCGCCCAAGGGGCCACAATTGGGGCATCCAACATGTGGTCGTCGAATCCATCGCACGCAGAAGTTCGTGTGCGGAGGGCCTCGGAGGCTCCGCCGCGTCCTCCCTCCTCCTAGTCTGCCTCATTCAAGCTGCGCGCGGCCCGCTGAGCTTCGACCGGAAGAGGTGCGCTCTCGACCCGCGGAAGAAAAAAGTGTGCGGAGGGCCTCTGGGGGACCTCTTGGAGGCCTCTCGGGTCCTCCATGGGGACCTCTTGGGGGATCGGGCCTCGGAGGGTTCTGGAGGCGGTCTCGGGGCTTATCTTGTGATGGTGGGCTCCAACTGCCACGTCGTGTTCCCATGGTTGGGCCCATTTGGGGATCGTCTTGAGAGCCTCTTGGGCCCTCCTTGGGCCCTTGGGGGCCATCCTGGAGCGATCCTGAAAGCCTCTTGGGCCGTCTTGCGCGCTAGGGAGCCTGGAAAGCAGAAAAGGTGCAGCAGTACGCAACCACTTACGATTTGTCACTGGCTTGGGCCCCTTGGGCCGACCCCCGTGCCTTCCAAGACAGCTCAAGAGGTCCTCAGCATCTCAAGGGCCAGTACGGCCCCTTAGGGCCATCCTGAGCATGGAGGTTGAGGTCCGCGGCCACGCTCCCGAGGCCTCTGGACAGGTCGGGGATGTCCGAGAGCGCGCGAGAAAGCTCGCGGAAGCTCCCTGGAGCGCCCATAGCATGGCAGCCTGGGCCACTTTAACGAGCATTTGCAATATACAATACAGATCGTTCACGGGGAGTTTAGGACAGTCGACTTACTGCGTAAGGTATGGTGGCGGACATCATCAAACGCCTCACCCCCTCATCCTCCTCCGCGTTGTCTTTCTTGCGCCTGATTCCCATCTTTTCTCCTTGTCCCTTCTCTTCCCTCCTCCTTGTCCTGTTTCTCATCCCTTCTCCTTCGTCGCCGTCCCGCCTCCTCCTCGGTCCTCCTCGTATCTTGTCTTCGTCCGCTTCTTGTCGCCTTTGTCTCCCTTCTCTTCCTCCCCCTCTGCCTCTGCCCTCTCGCGTCAGAGCGGTGACAGGGGCCCTCGAGATTGTGTCTACGTCGTGCGTTACGGTCGCTCCCGGGGCCAAATCCCCCACCCCCCACCCCCCAGGTTTTGGCAGCGGCATATTGATCGCACGTGGGGGGAGGCGGGCCCAGATGCCCGCCCCCAGCAGTGGGAGGAGCAGCAGCAGCAGCAGCAGCAGCAGCAGCAGCAGCAGCAGCAGCAGCAGCAGCAGCAGCAGCAGCAGCAGCAGCAGCGGCGGCCCCCCCATCCCCCCGCCCTCCCGCGCCGAGGGGGCAGGCCGAGAGGGAGCGGCGGGAGCTCGAGGAGGACCTCCGGGGGGGGGGGCGCCGGCTGCCCGCGCGGCCCGTCTGGGTCCATGGGCACGTCGGGGTTATAACCTGGTGCTCCTATAGGCGCTGGTCTGGCGCCTCCCGCGCCCAGAGGCCCAGGCGCGGCGCCGCTGTCTGCCGCACCGGGCGTGTGCCTAGCCCCCGACCTTCATCCGGAGGGAAAAAAACACACAGACACAATGAATCCTCGATTCCCAGGAAAATATGCGAAAATATGGGAAGTGCGGGGGAAGACAGAAACCCAGGAAATATGGGGAAATATGGGGAATCATTTTAATTACTTGTGTGCATTTATTTGTGTGTCCTGGGGCCCCTTCACTTCAGTCGGAGGTGGACAGACCTCCTACCCTGACACGTCGATTAAGGAATTGGCCGTTTTCGGTTCGCGAGAGGGCGTCGCGGCCGTCATGTTCTAGGTCCGTCGGTTTCGGCCCCAGGCCGTTCTCACTGAGGGGAGGTTCACTAAAGGGAAGTTTGCCCACCGCCGATTCAGGAGGGCTGAGGCATAGCCTCGGGACTTGTGCGTCCAGATTCCGGTCGAGGCTTGAAGCAGCCCAGGTTCAGGAGGGGAAAAGCACGCAGACACAGGTAATCGTCGATGTTCAAGAAATGATTGAAACGTGTGGGAAGTGGGGGGGAAGACAAACACCCAGAAAATATGGGAAAATATGGGGAGATATGCGGGATCCGGTTATTTGTGTGTAGTTACTTGTGTCCCAGGGCCCCTTCACGGGTGTAGGTCCATTAGGTCTGGAGGGCGTCTTCTAGCCCTCGGGAATGGCAGGGTCGGTCCCCAGAGCATCCCTTACCGCAACCGTTCGGTAGCGCTCCGGACGAAGCGGCCGCGACCGAACCTCGGCCGCCAGTTGCGAACTCCTGCAGCGAACGAGCCGTCGACGGCATCGAAGCCCTCGCTTGGGCCCCGACGGGTCGTCTCGTCACTGTCTTTCGATCCCATGCGGTCGCGACTGGGATGCGGCGCGCCCGACATCGTTACCGAAGCTTTCAGGTCGCAGGTGAGTGCCATGGGCGGATTGGCAACAATTAGATACATTAAACAAGCAGGATATTAATGTTATTTTTAAAATATTATCAAAGGCGTACTTTTGATACCAGGGTTGCCCAGTTCAGGAGGAGTTTTTCCTTGGCATTGGAAATAATCAATACTGGGGTTTGGGGCCCCGGGGCCCTCCGAGATCGATGCGGCTCGGAGAAGTCAGCGGAAGCATGAGGTCCAGGGCTGCGGTCGTGCTTCCTCGCGAGGGCGCATCCTTCTTCGCAACCTCGGGCGTCAGGATCCCGCCTCCAGGATGACTCCCACGGGGGGGGGGTCAACAGGCATGCCCAGGGTGGGGACAGGTCGCCCCAGAGAGCATCACTACAGAACGCCCTCGGAGCGCCCCCGCGGAGCGTCCGCGGGACGGCCGCGGCGCCCGGTGCATGCTCGAGAGCCGCCTGCTCTCGGAGATGCTGGATCTTTATCCTGGTCCGGATTCGGGTCTATCCGCATCCTGCGTTCGTCTTGGGGGGGGGTCCAGACCTCCGACGCTGCGACTCGTTCGCGGCGTGGCTCCCTGGAGGTCCGCACCCCCTCTAGGCGACCAGTGCTTGACGGCCCCCGGGGCCCTGGCAGAGGCCCCCCTGCGCAGGGGCCGGAGCTTGCCGGAGGCTCCCCGCTGTGCTCTCGCTCCGCGGCGCGAGGGCGCCAATATAGTCGGGGCCCCGGTTATAAGGGGAGCCGGTCAGTGCTTGGGCCCCGAAGCCCAAAAAACATGGGCTGGCATCGCTGAGCCAGGTTTGCCGCATAGCTGGCGTTTTTCGGGTGGCGGCAGGGTCCGGCCAATGGACTGGGGCGGGGGGGGGGGGAGGGGCGTTCCCCAATGCGCAGCACTAAACTCGGGCCGGGCGAAGGGGGGGGATTGGGACGGGGGGGGGGTACGAAATTTGCTGCGTGCAGCTGGTTTCGGCCTCACCGAGGGGCCCATTCCTCGGTACATAGCCGCCTCCGGCGCCGGGAGGCGCCTGGAAAATCAGCTACGCGAGCTGATTCTAACACCCCCCTTTCGCTATCCCCCCCTTTCGCCCGACCCGATAAACCAGGTCCCGCGAAACCCAGTCCCGCCCCAGCGCCCGATATTCCATGGGGGGCCATGGGAGGAGAGGGGGCGGATCCGCCGCTGCCCGGGCCGACGGGCGGGGCCCCTGGCCATGGCGGGTGCGGGGCCCAGAAATGCCCGGGGCTCACGTCGGCGCCTCCGAGTCGCTTCGCGAGTCGATCTCTCGGTGGCTTCCGAGAGTCCGATGCGGTTCGGCTTGGGATTCCGACTAGGGCTTCCATGTCTTATTGGAGGCACACTCGCCTGCCGATTTGCGCCGATCCGACTTGTCCCGACTCGGCGGCCGACTTCCGCCGGTCCCATGCATCTCGATCGCCGGTCCGACTCATCGATTCGATTCTGGGCGCTGGTGGATGCCCTCCCGCAGGTGCCGCTTTCGAGCTGCGGCCCCAGAGGTTCCGACCCCTTCCCCAGGGGCAGGCGCTCGTTCTCGCGGCAGCGTCTGATGCCCCCGGGGCCCGAGAACGAGCAGGCCGCTCGGGTCGGGCAAGAGGGGGGGATTGGGAAAGGGGGGGGTACAACATCTGCTGCATGCAGCTGGTTTCGGCCCCGCCGCCAGGCCCATTCCTCGAGTTACATGGGCGCCTCCCGGCGCCGGGCGGCGCCGGGAGAATCAGCTGCGTGAGCTGATTCTCAACCCCCCCCCTTTGCCAATTATCCCCCCCTTTCGCCCGGCCCGATCCGCCGTCGAGGCACAAACGCCGGGCTGGAACACAACATGGCGCAGGAGGCCTGTCAGATGCTCGCCCTGGAGTCGTTCCGACCCCTTCCCCAGGGGTAGGCGCTCGTTCTCGCGTCAGCTTCTGCTGCCCCCCGGGGCCCGAGCACCAGCAGTCCGCGGTCGAGGCAAAACCGCGGGGCTGGAACACACAACACGGCGTGTGGGAGGCCTGGCAGGTGCTCGTCCCGGGCGTCTCTCCTGGAGCTTCTCGCCGCTTCACTCGTGCGTCGAGCGTCCGTGGACTCGAGCCCCGTTTCGGATGGCCCCGGGGCCCGGGGCCGGGCAGGCTGGAATCGAGGAGCACACACTTTACCAGCCTCGAGCGTATCCCTATCCCTGAGATTGACGCGCCAAAAGGCGATGACAATCTTAGGGAGTCGCCCTCCAAAGATAAGGGAATCCCTGAGATTGGCATCGTGATGAGGAGATGCCCAGCACAGGGATAGGGATATGTTCCAGGCTGGTAAACACTGGGACTGAACAACAACAGAAGGGCGACAATTTGGGACCCCTGGATCCATCCTGAGGTGCATTCCCTGACCTTCCAGGAGGGCTAAAACATGGCACCCGACTTAAAAACGCATCCCAGAGCTATTCTACGTCTTGGTTTTAGGTTGTCTCGTTTAGTTTTTTGGGTTTTTAGGCCTCCAGTGCTAAAAAATAGCTCTCTGGAAGGTCAGGGTTCACGGCATTGCAGGGGATCTGGCCACGGCGACGAGGAGAGCTCCAGGAATCCCCAGAAGGCCGCCAGAGCCTGGATCCTCGAAGTCCGATCGTCGAAGTTCGATCAACATCGTCGGACATTCTGGGGGGCACTGACCAATGGATGCCAGTTCTTTCTGGTCGCGGCCGACGTGATCGGTTGCTACCGATTTTGCTTCGAAATCTAGTACAAGTATCGGTCGCGAGCGATTGCCTTCAACAAAAACTCGAGACCGATCGGTCGCGACCAGTCGCGACCGATTTTGGAATCGGCCGCGATCGGTTAGGACTGCTTTGGAGTGCCGATCCAGTCGCTACCGATAGCGACCGAACAAATCTTGTATCCACTGATCTGGGTAGGGGGTCCCCGGAAGTCTTGACCTTTTCCTTGGGGCCTGTTTTTCATCTCAAGCCGTTCTCTAACGGTCCTGATGCCCAGCGAGGTCCCGCGTAGGTCGAACATGGGCAAACAACTTCCGTCGTGATGTTGCTACGTCGCGAGCATGTCTGGCTGACGGGCAGGCCAAAGTCGAGGAGAACATGCTGGGATTGAACATGCCGGAGATTTGGGACCACTGGATCCATCTTGAGGTGCATTTTGGACGGAATTTCGACGTGAATCCGGCCGTGGCGACGAGGAGAGCCGCAGGAATCCCCAGAAGGCCCCCAAACTTGCATCCCCGAAGTTCGATCATCGAAGTTTGATCGTCAACGTTCGATCCACATCGCCGGAGATCCAGGGGTGCCCTGAGATCGGACGCCAGATGTTTCTGGTCGCCACCGACGCGATCGGTCGCTATTGTTGTTGCTTCAAAGTTCGGTATCGGTCGCAAGCGATGTGCTTCATAATCGGTCGCCACTGATTTTGGAATCTGCCGTGATCAGTCAGAACAGATTTGGAGTGCCGATCGGTCGCCACCGATCGCGTCTGATTCATCTGAGTGCGATGGCTGATTTTTTTTTCAACACGGGGTCCACGGAAGTCCCGATCTTTTCCCCAGGCCTTGTTCTTCATCCCAAGCCGATTTTTGGCGGTCCCGAGGCCCAGCGAGGGCCCCAGAGGTTGAAAATGGGCAAGCACCTTCCGTCGGATTTTCTTTTTGGAGCGCGAGCATGTCTGGTTGACGGGAAAAAGCCACAGTGTCGGAGATCTCCCACATCATTGGGTACCAGGTTTTTTCCGTCGCGATCGGTACTTTGGAGTGCCGATCGCGAGCGACTCCAACATCGGTTGCTGCCGATTTTAAACTAGATCGGTCGCGACCGATACGGGAACTTGAGAAGCGACATCGGTATAGCAACCGATCTCGCTGGCTGCGACTAGGAAAGAAACCCAAAAATCCGGGCGTCCGTCTAGGAATGTGGCAGGACGGTTTCAGCAAGATTTTTTGTTGTCCCGTCTGATGCTCGTGGCAGTTCAGGGCGCGAACTTGCTTGGAGATCTGCTCGGCTTTGCGCCAAAAACGGCTGCGGGTCGCTGGCGCTGAAAATCTGCAGCAGCAGCAGCAGCAGCGTCCGAGGATCGGGGCCGTCGGAGATCTCCGGGGGGGCCAGACTCAGTGGGCCCTGGAAACGACAGGCGTTTTTTACCGGTTCCGACGCCAACTTTTACCGGTTCCGTCGCCGTTTTTTCACTGGTTCCGGCCCCTGTTCCAATCCTGGAGCCGTTTTTTTGCCGTTTCCGGTCGCCGTCTTTTTGCCGTTTCCATTTTCAAGGGACATTGCTTTGGAACGGTAAAAGAAACGGCCCTGCCGTTTCCAGGGCCCACAAAGGGCCAGACCGCATGCGGCCCTCCGGCAAGGAGCGGCGGGCGGTGCAGGCCGCGAGGGCCGCGGCCGAGAAGGAGAGCGCCCCCACCGCCGCGCGGGCCCTGCCGACGGGCCCAGCCCCCCGCCGTGCGGGCGGTGCGCGGCCACAAGCAGTCCGCGGCCGCGCGGGCGAGGAGGAGGAGGAGGAGGAGGAGGAGGAGGAGGAGGAGGA